CTTTTTTTCGGGTGAGTGTATATATTATATATAGTATATATTAAAAATTTATCTTTTTTTGTGTGGAAATTTACATAAGCAAAAGAATATTTTAAAAATCTTATGTGATTATCCAAAATTTTTGTAATTTATTCGTTTTACAAACGCTTGGAAATTTACATTATAATGAGTCTCACGCATTTATATTACGTGAGTACTTATCTTTAATTTTAATTTATATATTTATTCATTTGTGTTGTTGCGACATTAAATATTCATGTCGTATCGTGATTTTTATACAAAGAATTTCACTCAATGTATTAGTTTCGTATCTATGTTTATTTGTTATTATGTTATATATTTCGTACAAATAATACTGTAGGATTCAGAGGATTCGGTCTCGTATGTATCTCGGCTTGTTACAAAGTCGCGATATTATACAGATCTGATCTTCGTGAATTAATCTCGCTGCTTATATAACATCTTGCGGTGGTAGATGGGAACCAATCAAAAAGAAATATGCTTTAAGTAACCAATCTAAATGGTCATAATCTTATGTGACGCGGTTATCGGACAACGCCAGACATGTTGGTTGTTTGTTGTCTTAGATCGGCGAAGCCTTTGTCGCATGCCGACTGAAGTCGGCGATACCTTTTTCGTGGGCCCACGCGTGTTTTTATCGCAACTAATATTTAATATCGCAACATGTGTTATAATAAAACGAAATAGTAAAAGCACAAAGAGTTTTAAAATGGAGTTTTAATGAAGCAAAATTAATTTTTATCTTAGAAAACGTTAACAAATCTACCGATAAAAATTTTAAAAATATCATACAAAATATTTTAAGAATACGATAGAGAAAACAAAAAATACAATGGTAAATTATTTATTAAAATTAAAATGTTGAACGCAAGGAATATCTTGTAATATGCTAAATATTTTATATCACATAAGGAATTTCGACTCTAACTCATGACGAGGAGGGGTGGGTTTATTAGGTTTGTTATTGTTTTCGTACGCGCCATATGATGTATATCCTCTCTTCTTTACTCTCACACTTTCTCTTTCGTACGCGTATCAGCACGCACATTCCTTTCTCCTACTTCTTCCAAATCACTTTTCGATTCTTCAGCGCGACCTTGTGTTTGCTCCTGGATTGTTACTATTCGCACGGCGATACTTGAGTGAAGCAGATCATTTCGCGTATCGGCGCGTTATTCTTATTGTTAGTATTATTCGTTACAGTCTCCCATCTTTCTTTCCCTTTTTTATCAGTATCTGTTGCGTACACTGAAAAAGTTGACACCTATTTAACAACTATTATAATAGGTAATTTTGAAACTCACTATAATTGTTGTAAATTTCTATGCGTTTGTAAAATGAATGAATTACAAAAATTTGAATAATCACATACGATTTTTAGAATATTCTATCACTTATGTAATTTTCCACATAAAATAAAACATATTTACACAATAAAAGACAAAACTACATAATTTTTGTGAAATTACACAAATTTCTCTAAAATTCCATGATTTTTTATTTTTATAATATTAATTTTGTAATTTTTACATGTATTATTTGGTGTAAATTTATTGAATTTGTTTACAGTGTACATGGCAGAGTGTCGAAATGCGTGTTCCGTGCGATTCATGTAATATTCTAGTTTTATTTTTGTCATAACATGACAAAATACGCGTCGGGAGTGCCGTTTAAAGTGCCGTATGATTATCGTATTCGCGCCGCGAAATCGTGTGTGATTGCTTTGAAGAGCACTGAGAGGAGGAAGAGGCTCAGGAGGAGCATCAGGCGCCGGCAGAGCAACGCTTACGTAAATATTCATTTATTTGTAATTCGCAAAATATTGGGTAT